GCTTTTAGAAGGATTTAAGATGTTTTTAATCACACTGTAATTTTATATTCAGGTCTGGTCCGATCTTGTCCGCTTAAGTCTGGTCTGATCTGAACTGTCGTGGTCTAGTAGATGTCTGATGTTATGTGTATTTTACAGCCATGGATGTCTGGTCTAATAGATGTTGGGTGTATGTGCATTTTACAACTGTTGAAGATCTGGTATATGACTCTATGGATTGATGTGTGTTGGTCTCGTCTTAGACTGAACCCAGTCCAAGTAAAAGATCTCTTAAAATACTTCTAATGTTTGAAATATATAAAACAAGGCTGTACCGGCTGATTCCGTCCCAAAAAGGCAGCCATGGACCGGCACCTTTGAACGCCAAGGCTGGTCTCATAACCGAATCGGGCAAACCGGCCCCATGAACCGGCCTGTTCTGTTTATGGCTTGTCTCAAATTGGTGAATCAGTCCATTCCTAACTTCGTGTACAACATAACATCATTTTTAATAACCGCCAGACTATATTTACTATTAATATGAAATCTATATCTATATCTATACCTATGCCTATACCTATGCCTATGCCTATGCCTATGCCCATACCCATACCCATACCCATACCCATACCCATACCCATACCCATACCCATACCCACCCATACCCATACCTATACCCATACCCATACCCATACCCATACCCATACCCATACCCATACCCATACCTATACCTATACCTATACGGCTATACGGCTATACCTATACCTATACCGATACCGATACCGATACCGATACCGATACCGATACCAATACTGATACCATATCCATATCCATACCTGTAACACCGTCCCCAAATGTATTTACTTTTAAGTGAATAATGTATTGAACCTTATGGAATGGTTAATGAGTATGCGGAGTTGTGAAGTTTTATTAATTCTTTTGCGTGAATAGTAAATTCGCACGTGGGGCCCACACCGGGTGTAGCCGTATACTCACCAAAAAGTGAATGATAGATACGGTACCCCATTTTTTAAATGGGTACCGGAGTTCTCACCAAAAAATATAAGGAGAGAGCATAGATATGGAGCCGTCCACACTGACAAAAATAATAATGCCAAAGGCCGGGAACAATATAATTTACCAATTTATTATTAAATAAAATAAAATATTCAATATCAATATGATCCATAAAAACATACCTGGTATAAACTTTAAAAAACGGCTAACAATGACCATTCCAATTGTACGGTGAACAGAGTATACCAAATGTATTATGGAGTATTATATACTAGTACTCCGTATATATCAAACCTAGATAGACAGTGTCGGTTATAATATACTAGTACTACGTAGTACGTACACTAATCGCCATGCCGGCAGGGGCGTATCTACTATGGGGTAGGGGGGGCACTCAACCCCCACCCAACCCCATTATATATATATATAATTTTATTTGTGTACATATATCATTGTCATATGTATAGTATAATAATGTTTAAAATCCTAAATATAACGAAAGAGTGTTGTAGCCCAGCGGTAGAAGTGTCGCACGCGTAGGAATTGTGGTCATGTTCGAATCCCATAGGCCACTTCATTGTAGTTTTTTTCGCTTTCCTTTAAAGTGTTTAAAATTTGTTCAAATGTAAAACTTAAATTAATTTTTTTTAATGCAGCTAATAAGTGATATGTAATTTCATCAACATCTTTGCATAGTTAATATTAAAAGTTATTTATTTGTAACTCAAATCACTTATAAATTACATATTTCATCCATTTCTTGTATATTTTTTATTTTGTATTTAATAAAGTATAGATTATCTAAATCTAAGATCCAAATTAGTTTAAAATAATTTTTTAACGTAACTAATAAATGGTATGTAATTTAAATTGCATCTCACTTAATATTAAAACACACTTGTTTATTACTTTATTTGTAAGCTTGGGGAGATTCTTTATGGCATGACTTTCCCCGGCAAACCTTCCGGCAGATGGTCCGACGGTTGTGTCCTCACTGATTACATAGGTGCACTCTCATCATCTCCCTCTTCAATCCTTTACATCCTTTTGAATTAATAACAAATCGATGTATTGAAATTTGAATGATTTCCAAGTACGTTGTGATCTCACGACATCATTATGGTCAGGGCCGTCTAGAACAATTATGAGACCCTAGACGATCATATATTTTGTTCAAATGAAATATAAGTGAATTATAGATGAAATGCATCATACAAGTATAATATTAATTTAAAGGGAGTATTCTTCAAAACCAAAAGATCCAAAATTGAAAAAAAATGGATTATGTATAGTAGCGATCCATAGAGTTAGCAAGCGATTTATAATCATGTCCTTTCTTAATTTGTTCTTTCTCTTTGTACATCTCGAGTCATGCTTTCTTTTTCTCGTCACCAATTTCATACAACTTCATACAATTTCTAACTAGATAAAGTTTTTCTAACTTTCAATATTCAATAATATAATACAAGTACAATTAATCAATTGTAGAAATATACAATAAATTAAATGACTATATTGAATTATTATTATTATTTGGATTTTGGTTTATTATAATAGAATGATACACCCAATACCTAGGCCCTACACCGCCTATTACCTACTGCCATAACCGATTAAGTAGTAAAAAATTAATAATTGAAGGTAAACAAATTAAAAGAAATCAATAAAATCAATAAAGGAAGGATTTGAAGCTGCCAGAAACAAAGAAAGACAAGAAAGTTAGAAATTACAAAAGTCGAAGACCATTACGGCATTACGGAAACAGATGCCTCGACTCTTCTGCAGGTTTTTACTTGATATATGAGATATTTTATCACAATTAACAATTTAAATTAAACATACATATATAATATATATATGGGCTTACATAAAAAACTGGAGACCTAGACAATTGTCTAGGCTGCATGCCCCCATGGCCGGCCCTGATTATGGTTCTCCAAAGAAAAAGTCACAAAGTTCGATTCTCATTCCGATCAAAGATGTTGTCATTTAGTTAGAACAGATACAAAAAAAAAATTAGAACATATACTCCAAGATGTTTTTACTTGGACTATTTTCAGTCCAAGATCAGACCAGAACAAACCGAACCAGGCTTAAACAAATTAGACCAGACCGGCCTTGAAAATACCACACTTTGATAGTTATAAAATATATATTGAGACCAAGCATTTATCATATCAAACTTAAATAGACTAGACTAGACCAGACCAAACTAATTAAAAACATTCTAATAGCTAGAATATCATCTGAAAAAATTGAGCTCTGGTCTCTCTTGTACTACTCTTTAGGTAGGATAGAACCCGGTCTGATTTCGGTGCCTCCAAAATAGAAGCGAACAAGAATTGGAACGAACAAGAATCAGATCTAGAATGATTCCGATGATTTACAGTCATAATTTTTTTAGAAATGTTGTTTTTAGGATGTTTTTACTTGGACTGTTTTTCGTCCCAGACCAGACCAAACCAGACCAGTTCAGACCAGATCAGACCAGATCAGACCAGACTTGGATAATTATAAAAATACAGAGAGACCAAACATTATCTAACCAGACCAGTTCAGATCAGACCAGCAAATTACAGTCCAAGTAAAAACATCCTTGCCCGTCATTTTTTATGCTACGAAGTACGAACATTTTTTTCATCTTGTAAAGAGATTCTTGTTAAGCATTGATAAAAAAATATGTATCACACACGCAAAATTATTTGTTTTGCCTAGCTAGGTGGTAGATTTTATTCTGTTTATGTTTTTGAATTTTGTTTGTTGTTCCATTAGCATCACACCTTGGAATAGAATCTCCCCAAGCTTATGAATTGTGGAAGGGTGGAGGGGAAGCACAAAACCCTCAAAATGGGATGAATTTTGCGTACGGAGGGACAGGAGTGTTCAACACATCCGTTGATGGGCCGAACTTGACGACCCAGATTAACTCTCTCCAACAACTCCTTGAACAAAATGTGTACACCAAAGACGATCTCTCATCCTCTGTAGCTCTTGTCTCCTCGATTGGGAATGACTACATTACTTACAAGTTGAATCATAGCGACATAAACATACTGGTAACATACACTACAAAAACACGAGATTGGCAAAGATTTTTTAAGTGGTTTTACAAAAATTATGAAACATTTGGCAGGATATGTCAAATTCTTGCAAAAACACTTTGACACGAGCTATTTAGCATGAAATCACCGATCAATCCGTGTCAATCCCGTATATAGAGTTGTATTTTTCACTTCTGTTTGGGTATGTAAAGTGTAAACCAATTGCATAGTTAGTGATTACCTATCTGGGCCAGCAATAAGGGAATGCAGCGAGTGGCCAACTGCACAGGATCCCAAAAATAAGCAGCCCATTTTTTTAAAAAAAAATTACATTTACCAACAGATTTCCCCCATTCCAATTCATCATTTGTGGTGCTTTAAATTTCATGCATTTGAAGGAAATATAGAGAAATGTAAAAAAGTATAAATGTACTTCTTAGTGGGATAGGTTGTATCGTATCCATAGATGTTGTTTTATTTTTAATAATGACATATTGAGAAAATAAAACACATCCATGTCAAAAATAGAATTTCATATCGTTTTTTCTCTTACACAAAAGTAAATCTTGATTTAGTCATATAATTCTAATATCTTGCATTTATATAACCTATTTTTAACTCTAAAAATACAATAAAAAAACTCTAAACAAATCTACGTAGTATTTTTAAATTAAGCGGAAGATTAACAAAAAATTACTACGTAATTTATTTCTTCTAGAGTAGCCAAAATTCTATTTGAAAGGGAAAACATCGACCCACGAAGAACCACATAAACTAATTATACTCCCTCGAATCTAAATAATCTTTCAAATTTCCTTCTTGGTTCATCACAAAATAATCTTTTCTTTTTCTTTTTTACAAATAATTTGTAATTCATAGCATTTCTTACACATTTTTACACACTTTTCTCTTCTGAATAATATATAATTCATCATATAATTCTCATTATCTTAATTCTCGACCCTAATATACTTTGGAAAATAATTTGAGATGAAGTGAGTATTCAGTTCCGTAATTCAATTTAGAGTCCATTTGGCGACTATGTTTTTGGCTTATCATGTTTATTAGCGGACCTTTTCATCAAACACTTGACTTTTGATTTTCCGCGTTGGATTGTGTAATAATAAGGAAAAATATAGTTGAAGTTACTTTTCTGGTTGTTCCTGTAGAGGATCATATCAGCTATTTTTCACACAATTTTTTCTTTTTTAATTAATAAAATATATTTTAAAGTTTATAAAGTTCAAGTGAATGGGTCTAAGGATTTTATGACAATTAACTAATGATCGTACGTGTTTGGGTTGAGTGAGATGTAGAATGAACCTAAAACGGCTTTACGGGATGGGATTCCGGAAAGTAGCGGTGACCGGCATGCAACCGGTGGGGTGCATACCCGCCGTCGTCGTCGCTCCGTCCACTTTCAGTTACCCCAGCTGCAACGCCTTATCTGTGGCCCACAATTTCTTCCTCAAGCTGCTAGTAAGTTTTCTCAACAAGTTCAACCGAACCGGTCCTTTTGTCATCATCGATCTTTATGCCGCCTTCACCGCTGCCCTCAACATTCACAACAACCTCCCAGGTAGATAATACGAATATGTGTATGGATATATAGCTAGATACACAATAAATAAATTCCTTTTGACCTTTGTTTTTGTACATTCTAGCTCACGTATATTTTCATCTAATATTTTTATTAGAATATATTATATGATTTGATCAATCCCCCAATATCCTCCTGTAATATCCCTTGATTCCCTCTTGTATTTATTCTCTTTCCTTGTATTACTTCATGGTGATTGTATAAATTGTGACATAGTGGAGACTTTCCCCTCAAGGGGCTTTATTCAAATGTTTTACATGGTATCAGACTGTTCGATCCAACCCCCATCTTAGTTCCATTTTTTTTCTTTTTCCAGTCATGGTTGGCGACAACCAGCCCTCCAAGTCTACCATCCATCCTGCTCTCACACTGAACAATATCAAAACCCACATCCCAATCACTCTTGATCTTAAAGATGATGAATACTCCTCATGGGTTTTCTTGTTTGAGCTTCACCTTGAGGCTCACAATTTGATGTTTCTAATTGACGGCGAAGCTGCCCCAAGCACCATTGACGGCCCCACCCGCAAGCAATTGGATGCTCTAGTTCGTCAATGGATGTTCTCCACCATGTCCAAAGACTTGATGCTCACCGTCCTAAAATCCGGCAAAACCGCCAAGGACCTATGGGACCGTCTTAAGTCTCTCTTTCAAGACAATAAAGGTACTCGTGCTGCACTGATAGAAATCAAGTTCGTTAATCTCAAGTTTGTGGACTGTTCAAGTGTGGATGACTACTGTGACAAACTCCACACCTTTGCTGAACGTCTTCAAGACCTGGGATTTGCCATGGATGACAAACGGCTGGTCATTCAACTGGTCAACGGTCTGCCGCCCGAATATGACACCGTGGCTTCCTTAATTTCCCAAACAATGCCTTCATTTGAGGCTGCCCGTTCTCAATTGCGTACGGAAGAAAAACGTCGTGCCCAGCAATCTGCGGTTACTTCCCCTACTGCACTGGTCGTTCCAGCATCTCCTAGTGCAGCAGCTTATCAAACGGAGCCTTCAGCATCGAATCAGGCCGCGGTATACCAGACAGAGGCTTCAGCATCCAATCGGGTCTCCACTCCGACCCGACAGCCTCGAATCTCTAGCAACCACCGCCGGAGCCGTTCAAACAATCGACGCCCTATGAGTTCTGATTCGTCCGGCCACTCGTCTCCTGGTCGATTTCTGGCTCCAGGTCACTCCCCTGCTGGCGCACCGCTAATACCCGGCTATCCCTCGCCGTGGCAGCCTTTCTGGGCGATTCCGCCGTGCCCCTATCCGACGGCATCGCCGGGACCTCTCTGGACGCCTTCACCCGGTCGTCTCTCTGGTGCACGAGGCAGTTCTGGGCGTCCTATTGCGGCTGCGGCAAACTCAAATCAAGGGCAGGCCTATTTTACTCCTACGGCAGAAACGTTGCATCCAGAAGATCTGGCCCAAGCCTACAGCTCTCTTTCTCTAAAGCAGCCAGATAATAATTTTTATATGGACACAGGTGCTACTTCGCATCTCACCGCGGATTCAGGTACTTTGACCCGTGTTTTTAATAATAGTAATACACATTCTATTTTAGTCGGTAATGGTAATAGTATTCCGGTTATTGCCTGTGGTAGCAAAACTATAACCTTCCTGATCGCCACCTTTATCTCAATGATACCCTTGTTGCCCCTAATATTATCAAAAACCTTGTGTCTGTCCGAAAATTCACTACTGATAATCATGTTTCTGTTGAATTTGATCCATATGGTTTATCTGTGAAGGACCTGACTTCGGGGACATGTATTATGAGATGCAATAGCACCGGGGAGCTATATCCTATCACCACCAATACAGTGGCTTCCAAGCCTATACCTCTCTCACTTGCAGTTGTGTCACCAGATCTTTGGCATAATCGACTTGGCCATCCTGGCAAGGCGGTTATGGATTCACTTCGCACTCAATCTTTAATTAATTGTAATAAGGAATATAATTCCATACTTTGTCATTCCTGTCAAATTAGTAAACATGTTAGGTTACCATTTTTCCCTTCCGGGCCTAATACTGTTGCTCCGTTTGACATTATTCATAGTGATTTATGGACATGTCCCATTAATATTAATACTGGTTTTCGGTATTATCTTCTTCTTTTAGATGACTTTACTAATTATCTTTGGATATACCCACTTAAACTAAAGTCTCAGGTTTTCGAAAAATTCCTTGAATTTAGTGCTCTTGTCCGCACTCAATTTGAAAAGGAAATAAAATCCTTTCAATGTGACTTAGGTCGTGAGTTTGATAACTCTTTGTTTCGCCAGTTTGCTCAACAACGTGGTCTCATTTTTCGGTTTTCTTGTCCACAAACATCTCCTCAAAATGGTAAAGCCGAAAGAATGATCCGCCGAATTAATGACATTACTCGTACACTCATGGCCCATGCCTCTGTCCCCCCTAAATACTGGGTCGACTCCCTCCATATGGTTGTTTACCTTCATAATATTCTCCCCACCAAAACACTTGCCTTCCGCTCTCCTGTTCTAGCCTTATATTGTCGTCAACCCATATATGACCATCTTCGTATATTTGGGTGTCTCTGCTATCCTAATATTAGCTCTACCGCTCTCAATAAAATGGCTCCCCGGTCCACGCGTTGCGTTTTTCTTGGGTTCCCTCTTCAACACCGTGGGTACCGCTGTCTAGAGTTAGCAACAGGTAAAATTATTATCTCTAGACATGTGACCTTCGATGAGTCAGTGTTTCCCTTCGCAGATCTTCCTCCTCCCCCCCCCCCCTCCATCATATGACTTTCTATCTCCCCACCCCCTTCTACTAGATAACCTAAGCTACCCTTCACCCTCCACATCACCACCTCCCAGCAGATCACCCCCCTCCTCACCATATATCCCCCCTCACCGTCGCCAAAATACCCCATCACCCCCACAATCCCAACCACCCCATTCCATCCCCCCATTAGCCCCCCCATCACCACCATCTCCTCCTACATCACCATCGCCACCCACTTACACCCATCCTCATCCCACCCACCACATGGCTACCCGAGCTTCCCACGGTATCTTTAAACCCAAACCTGTGTTTGACCTCCATGTTCAGACCCCCTCTTCTATCTCTCCTCTTCCCCGCTCCCACCTATATGCCCTACAGGACTCTAACTGGAATGCTGCCATGAAAGACGAGTATAATGCTTTATTAAAAACACGCACTTGGGACTTGGTTCCGCGCCCACCGGGTGCACATGTTATTCGCTCTATGTGGCTCTTTCGACATAAGTTTCATTCTGATGGATCTCTAGAGCGTTACAAGGCTCGACTTGTGGCAAATGGTAAGTCTCAGCAGGTTGGTATTGATTGTTTTGATACATTTAGTCCTGTAGTCAAACCTGTTACTATTCGCACTGTGCTTACTATTGCTACATCACACTCTTGGCCTATTCATCAACTGGATGTCAAGAATGCCTTCCACCATGGCGATTTATCTGAGACTGTTTATATGCATCAGCCCCTGGTTTTATTGACTCGGCTCGCCCAAATCATGTTTGTCTTCTTCGAAAATCACTTTATGGGCTCAAGCAAGCACCCCGAGCATGGTTTCAATGATTTGCCACATTTATCACTCTTTGTGGCTTTAAAGGGAGCACATGTGATTCTTCACTGTTTGTTTATCACTCTGGATCTGACATGGCCTATTTATTGCTCTATGTGGATGATATTTTACTTACAGCTTCTTCAGATGGTCTCCTTCGGCGATTTATTGCTGCAATGAAGCAGGAATTCTCTATGACTGATCTTGGCCCGCTACATCACTTTCTTGGATTGGCTATCACACGATCTTCATCTGGACTATTTTTGTCACAATCTCTTTATGCACAAGCAATCCTTGCACGAGCTTCTATGACAAATTGCAAGCCAGTAGCTACTCCTGTTAACACTTCTTCAAAACTTAGTGCATCACTTGATACTCCTCCAGTTGATCCCACTCTGTATCGACAACTCACAGGGGCTCTCCAATATTTGACTTTCACTCGACCTGACATCTCTTATGCAGTGCAACAAGTCTGCCTCTTTATGCATGATCCTCGACAGCCTCACTTCCATGCTCTTAAACGCATTTTGCGCTATCTAAAGGGCACCCTAGATCATGGCCTACACATATCTGCTGGTCCTATTTCTAAATTGATTGCCTACTCTGATGCTGATTGGGCCGGTTGCCCTGATTCACGGCGCTCCACGTCCGGTTTCTGTATCTTCCTTGGTGATAATCTCATCTCGTGGTCTTCTAAACGGCAACCGACTGTCTCTCGATCCAGTGCTGAAGCCGAATATCGAGGGGTTGCCAATGCAGTTGCTGAGTCATGTTGGCTTCGTAATCTACTACTGGAGCTCCGATTCCCTCTCCGCCAGTCTACTGTGGTCTATTGTGATAATATTAGTGCGGTATATTTGTCTGGGAATCCTGTTCAACATCAACGTACCAAACATGTTGAGATTGACATTCACTTCGTCCGAGAACGTGTTCGTATCGGTGATATTCGAGTCCTGCACATTCCTGCTGAGTATCAATATGCCGACATCTTCACAAAGGGCCTTCCTCGACAACTCTTTCTCCGGTTTCGGGATAGTCTTAGCATTCGTTCTAATCCTGCTTCGACTACGGGGGAGTATTAGAATATATTATATGATTTGATCAATCCCCCAATATCCTCCTGTAATATCCCTTGATTCCCTCTTGTATTTATTCTCTTTCCTTGTATTACTTCATGGTGATTGTATAAATTGTGACATAGTGGAGACTTTCCCCTCAAGGGGCTTTATTCAAATGTTTTACAATTTTAGCATGTTTTTAATTGAAAACGAAATCTCCTATTAACATAACGTTCAAATTAAAGAGATCATTACATTCATAACTTTTCACTTTTGTCACTTTATTAGTCACGTCTTTATTCAAATCTAAAATCAGTCACCTTTTAAATTTTGTAAAATTTTATTTCGATTATAATATTACGTATAAATATTACCTCATCCCCTTAAAATTGAGACATGATGGAGTGATCGATACGGTTATTAAAAATAGTGAAGTCGTTTGATTGGTATTGAATTAGTAAAATATGAATAGGTTATCATCACTCTACCATATATATCAAATATAGTATGGAGTATGTGATAAATTTAGTGAAATGGATGAAAAGATAAATGGGACAAAAATTGGTGAACGGGCACAAAAGGGGTAATATAAGAAAACACCAATAAATTGTTAAATTGTTCAACGGTTCAATCCAATATGAAACACAATTATTAGAAAACTTAATCAATTTTTTATGCATTATTTGAAATTCCAGTATAATTTGCTATATATTTGTATCATCTTTATATGAAGGGTCTGAATATCCTATAATATATATATATATATATATACACACAGAAAAGATCAGGTCCCTCCGGAGGGACGGGAGGGACCGTCCGAACTTTACTGTTTGGGGCAGTTCCCGGTGGAATTTTTTGATGAAATTTTTTGAGCATGTTCCTCATCAAGTCTAGTTTGTCCATACCAAATTTCAGATCAAAATTCGACCGGGAAGGCAGTCAAATAAATTCTTGAAGTTTACTGCACATTCTGCGCATATATAAAGTGCAGTAAGTTTCAAGAATTTATTTGACTGCCTTCCCGGTCGAATTTTGAGCTGAAATTTGGTATGGACAAACTAGACTTGATGCGAAATATGCTAAAAAAATTCATCAAAAAATTCCACCGGGAACCGCCCCAAACAGTAAAGTTCGGACGGTCCCTCTCGTCCCTCCGGAGGGACCTGAGCAGTCCTATATATATATATATATATATATATATATATATGTATGTATGTATGTATGTATGTATGTATGTATGTATGTATGTATGTATGTATGTATGTATGTATGTATGTATGTATGTATATGCCTGACTTTTCGAGAATATATAGAAGGCCAGATAGTAGAAAAAGGAGAGCAAATAAGTACTACACGTATCTTTACCTTAAGTGTTGGCTATGAATTATTTAATTTCTACAAATTTTCTATACTTTCCATTTCACTACAAAAAAATACTTGATTGACACGAAATTTGGCACGGATTACCGACTTTTCATGCCAAATAGCTTGATCTAAAGTGTTTTTGTAACATATATATTTTACATAATCCTTGTCAAAATCCCTGTCAATCCCGTGTATTTTGGTAGTGTTTGATTATATACTAAAAATCATTATCTATCAATTTTTGGAATATTTATATCTAAAAATTTCGACATATTCAACCAACTCAGCATATCTTTTTAAATGGCCATTGTTTGAGTGGAATGTGATAAATTTGATTTCCAAAACCTTTTTATATTTTTATGTGTAACTTAATACGAAGTACACGTATATACTTACTGTAGACTGTAGCGGCTCCAAATTGTTTATTCTTCCTACAAGTTTTGAGTTGTATAGGATGTATTATTGATCAAAAAAGTTTTTTATATTAAAATTTAATTATATAGTCCGAGGCCGAATTAATTATTTTTAACCGGGCTTAATTAATTACCCCAACGTTAAGTGAACGTCATCTAATTTTTCTATTGCTAATTTTACACAGACATGTACTTTGCATATATAGAGAATTGTATCAACGAGGTTAATTTTTTCTTCTCTCTAATTTATTTATATAAAGAATTACTACGTAACGTATGTGAGTAGCTTGCCTCCAGGCTCCAGGCCTCCAGTACAGTACATATTACTCCTTCCGTCCCATTTTATATGTCCTACTTTTCTTTTGGGTTGTCCCAAAATAAGTGTCTCCTTTCATTTTTGGAAAGAAAATGTGACATGCACCATTTCATATATGGTACGAAGTATATAATAAATTCAGTGAAATAGAGGAAAAGGTAAATGGGACAAAAAATTGGAGAACGGGCAGAAAAGGGGTGATATATATAAGAAAACATCAATAAATTGTTAAATTGTTCAACGGTTCAATCCAATATGAAACACAATTATTAGAAAACTTAATCAATTTTGTATGCATTGTTTGAAATTCCAAAATGTATAATTTGCTATATATTTGTATCAATCCCAATACATATGAAGGGTCTGAATATCATCTTTAATTACACACAAATACATAAATTTAAATTATTTTAAGTATTATTCAATAGATCAGTGAGCTGAGTGTAATATTTATAGACTGCGTTTGGTTAACAGCGGCTGAGCTTCAATCCGCCAATTTTCACAAAAGAAAACGCTGCAAAATGCAGCGGTTAGATCTGAATATGCCAAAAAAACAAATAGGCTCATACTCTATATATGCTTGGCTTTTCGAGAATATATAGAAGGCCAGATAGTAGAAAAAGGAGAGCAAATAAATACTACATGTATCTTTACCTTAAGTGTTGGTTATGAATTACTACCTCCGTCCCATTTTATATGTCTTAGTTTGACTTGACACGGTTATTAATGAAATGGTTGAAAAAGTAAGGGCCTGTTTACTAACAGAGATATTTTCTGGTTTTCTACTTCTGCTTTTTGTTCTCCAATTTTCTGTTTTTATTTTTCAGTTTTTCTATCTCCAATTTTCAGTTTCTATTTTTTAGTTTTCTATTTTCAAATCTGAAAACATGTTCATCAATTTTTTCACCCGGTTCTCCAATTCCACACCCTTGACCCTTACCACGATCTTACACTCTACCCATACCCCCCCCACAACCCTTCATACCCACCCATACCTACTTGTAGGTGTCGGGGTAGTGGGTGGGGGTGGGGGTGGGGTAAGGGGTATGATCGGGGTGGGGTGGTAAGGTCTAGGGGTAGGGGGTTGGGTGGGGGGTAGTGGGTGGGTTAGGGTAAGGGTGGGGTAGGGTTGGGGTAAGGTAGGGGTAGGAGTTGGGATAGGATTGCGGTAGGGTGGGGCCGGGATCCGGGTGGGGCCGAGGTAGGGTAAGAGTAGGGGGTAGGATGGCGGTACGAGGGTGGGGGTAGGATGGCGGTGGGGTGGGGCCGAGGTAAGGGGCATGTGGTAAGGGGTAAGGTAGGGGTGGGGTAGGTGGGTCGGGGTGGTAGGGGGGTGGCGGTAAGGTAGGGTGGATCGGGGTGGGGTCGAGGTAGGGGCATGTGGTAGGGGGTGGGGTAGGGTCATTATAGGGAAAATGGGTACGCTGGGTGGGGTTGGGTGGGTAGGGGTAAGGGGTAAGGGGTAAGGTACGAGGATGGACGTACCGGAATGGAATCGACTTGGAGCGGGTCCGGACCCACCATTAGGTATAAGTATGCAAATTCATTGCAACGACACTGTAGCATCTGCGTTTTCCAAATTTGGAAAACTAGTAAAAATTACTTCTCCAAATCATTAAGGAAAAGAGAGACATGTCTCATTTTTTTCGTTTTGGAAAACGATTTGGCAAACGCGTTTTTGGAAAACGATTTGGCAACTTCCTATTCTTAGCATTCTAGCTTATTTCTCTTGCTCGCAGCTGAGACTACTGCCTAGCGAGACGAACGGCCGACGTGCCTTTTTTAGCAAGTAGATTGTACTTAGGGGAGTTATTACGGAGTTAATAATACCTATTTACATTGCTTACTATATCCTCTGCTTCCTGATCCATCTGATAGTTGTTGGGCTAGATATTCACATATTCATACACTCACTCCACTCGAAATCTTCGGGCTTACGTGTTGGGCCTGAGGGTTGAAGGAATAAACCTCAACACATATCAAGTCAAAGTGAGACACATAAAATGGGACGGAGGCAGTACTATATTAGTGGCGTAATTTATGTATGTGTAATAAATATATACTCCGTACTTATTATTATTCAATATTCATATATATATTTTTAAATGATTTTGTAGGGAATTCCAGTTTTGAGAATCCATTAATGCCATGTTGTATTGGGAAGAGATGTGGAATTGCTGATGAGAGCGTAAAGGATCATAAAGTGTGCGATGATCCAGAGAAGTCATTCTTCTGGGACGGTGCACATCCAACCCAACAAGGCTGGTCTGCCGTTTATTCTGCTTTGAAGCCCTCTCTGGATTCCCTCCTCCTCCCTCCACGCCTTATTTCTACGCTTGAGTAAGATCAGAGCGAATGAGCGATGGATTATGTTTTTTTTTGCATTCAATAAAATGTTCTAATCAAAACTAGCTTCGTAATAAAGATTGGAATTTGGAAACATATGAATATGTCTAAAAAACGGTCCCTAAAAAATGGTTTAGTGACATTTAACCGGTGATAAAGCCCTGTCAAAAAATGGTGATAAAGCTATCCCCTAATAATTGAAACTTTAAACACTTAAATCAAAACTAATAAATGGTTTATTGAGTATTAAATCACAATAGCAGAACTCAAATACAATTAAAAAATGTTCATTGTAAAAGATAAAATAGAATTGCACGTTGAGTATACACAATATTACTACAAAAAGATGAAATAGAATTGCATATTCATCGTAAATATGTCAATTAAGGAAGGAGTACATTTTAATGTAGAGTTAAGCATTATATTTTAATGCATATTTTAATGCATATTAGATGCAATATATTGACTTTTTAACAAGTACGTAGTATATAAATACAGAATACTTGTATTATTTATTATCTTTAAAGGCTGGAGGCTGCATATCCATCCATTACAACTTACAAGCATACATGTCAAGTAAATCTAAGATGATAATACAATGTACAACCTATTAAAGCATTCGGCACCAAGCCTTGCCTACACACACATATACGTGAGTACATACATGTACATGTATATGTTAGTGTTTAATACGAAGTATATAAATACTGAATACATACTATTATACAAATACATATGTAAGCTCATACAGTTCAAATGAATAGCCATAACTGGTATGGAAAAGAGAAGGCGAGATTAGTACTACCTATACATATGTGGTCTGATAAGATAATCGGGAGGTGAGAAGCGTGTCGAAGGAATGGTGGCTGAAAATCCACTCCGAGAGGATAATTTTGGTAATAATCCTGTGAACGAGGGTATATTGGAAAATGGATCAAACATTGGTGGCCTCCATGCTTCTGCATTTCTAGTCTCCATGAAATTGCTGCGGTAGAACACATCAGAAGAAGCTTCAGCAGGGGTACGTTTGGCCACTCTGAATAATGGAGGAGAAGAGTAGCTTATTCTTGGTGAAGTTGTTGGATCCCAGCGTAAGTCCGTTGGTAATCTAAAAAGACTGTCGCCTTGTACCTGTTGGAAGCTACTGCTGAGATTTCCTCTCAGTGAAAGTTTAGCTTGTTCAAGTGCCCCAAGGACGTTTTGGACATTACTGTTTACCTCGTTTGAAACCAAAGCAAGCTCGTATTTTCCTTCAGAAACGTTGTCGGGATTTCGTGAATTAGAAGAGGATGAAGCATGTTGTTCTAAGGAGTTGTTTACCTTTAACATAGAGGGGAAAGCGAAGTCTGGTGACGATGACCCGGAAACATCTGTTTTGTTGCAGTTCATTTTGACAGGCGGTGGTGGGGACGGAGAATGATCATCTTGAGAATCATTTGAGTGTCTACTATTGGATGGAGAATGATCACCTTGAGCTTCATTTGAGTGTCTACTATGGGATGGAGAATGATCACCTTGAGCTTCATTTGAGTGTCTACTACCTGCCATCTCATGGTCTATGTTCTTAGGAGATGATGGTGGCTCATGATGACATGCTGCTCTTATGTCATCTCTTTCGTCGGTCACGTCTGAATGGTTTCCCAGATCACGTGAAGAATCCTGTAGGGAGTGAGTTTCAAATATAATTTTTTTAATCCTCTACCAGACTGCCACATTGTGTTCTCACAACAATAAACCATTTGCCACATCGGCTAAATATGATCAGAGAAACTAACATAGAATACATCAGCTACACTTTTAGGCTAGAACTCCTCCATGTCTTTATATGTTACTCTGTACATATTATCAAGACTATTGAAATCCAGAAAAAGAAGGGCATGTGAAATATACTGACTTCTTTCCGAGTTTAACATAATTTCCATTAAGCTTTTTGAAAATTTTGAGAAGCTTAGTAAAATAAGAGAATATATGGTTTTGGTTTCCAATAAAAACCCAAGGTTGGCATACATAGTGTATGTTTGGATTTCAGTTTGCTACGAATTTAGGACCTAAAAGTGATTTGATGTGATCGAGATTTGTATTTTGGATATATTCTCTAAAAAGTCAGTTTAGTCAAATGAATGTTGTTTTTAGATAAACAAGATTCAATTAATTTTTTTTAGGAATCAAGGGAAGAGTACATCATCATCCACAGCACCCTCATTCCTCACCCTGATGCCAACTGTATCCGTATCCGTGGGATCAACTAAATTTCTAAAATAAGTTGATGCTATAAATTCATGCACAAAAAGTATTATTACCATCATAAAGCTGGAATCTTCTCTGTATTTTTCTTCCCACTCTCTCTGTGCTCTCTCCTCAGCCTCATACTGACCTATAAGTTCTGCTTGGTGTTGTATAGCTTTTTCCATGGCTTTGTCGCCCACATGTATGTGGCGGTTTAAGCTGCTGCCATTATCTGCTTGAGTTTGCCTTTTAAGTACCTGAAAAGAAGGAAATTCCAATTCACCATTTTCAGCACGGCGTTGAATGCCACTTTTTGGTGACTCAATACCAAAGTCTGTTAATCCGTTAAGATCCTGAGCGTGTGTGGTTCCCGAATCATACTTAGCAGTTTGCGCAGTAGAGTCACCATATGTCTCTTCAACAGCTGATCTAAAAAACAAGACAACTAACATTTAAATTTGTTCAAGTTTATCACTTAACCCAAAAGATAAGTTAGCAGTTAGGGAGGACTTTGAGATGAACTCTCAGTTTAAGACCTAAAAGCCATAAATTTAATGAGTTTTTTATTTGGATTATTTTATGTTAATCCCTCAAAGCAGTTTGGCTCAAAGGGAAAGGGCACTCCGGCACAGCCTGGGCCTTTGAAGTGCCTGCTGAAACTCTTTCTCCAGAAATCAAATGGCCTAAAGCCCTAAATCTTGTATCTCCCCAAAAACACATTTTCTCCTTTAACATAAAGTGTGTATGCTGGCAATAAAATCAAAATTATCAAATCATAATAAAGTCAATCAAGCAAATCACTCTAAAAAAAAATAGCAAATCAATCAGCTATTAGTCTATTACACGTCATTATTCTACTTGATTGCTCTCTTTATCTTTCCATAATATTATATTGTAGCATGCATCAATGTGCTGTAAATTCTCCAGCCAGGAGTGTTGATCAAGAAATCGTCAAATACCAAAATGAGTTTTTGCAAGTACGGACTAAGTTTCATTCATCGATTTTGGAAGCACACATATTTTCATAAAGCTCCTCCACTCTGACAGATTATGAATTAAAGTTAATAAAGAAAATTTAAAACGTTTTTAAAAAAAATAAAAAACCGTTTGTATTCTTTAAGTCTTGAATTGAAGTTTCAACTATTTGGGTTATCAACCTACGTTTCCATCTATTAAACTTCTTTAGAGATTCTTGAAGGCAGCAGAACATCTTTTAAGTTAGTCACATACAAAACGCTAGAGCTTTTATGCAATATAGTGATATACGAAGTGTATGCTAATGGAAAAACTGTACTCCACAATTGAGAAGTAGAAACAAAAACTTACATTGTTTTGCCACGCCTTATCCGCCGACATGATTTACCAACAAGCTTGAATGAAGAAGCACTTGATGCAAAACTACATGAACTTCTAGAAGAGCTCGTGTATTTCTTCCGAGTCAAAGAATGCATAGATTCTCTACCACTTCTCCAAGACAAGTTTCTACCAATAGCGGAGAGGATTCAACCTCAGAGTTTGAGTTGGTCTCCCCATTAATATCTCGGACCTCCATATGTATATCCATTGAATACTCATCATCCTTGCACTCATCATTACAATGGGGAAAATCAGTACCCTGATCAGAACTGGAATCGAAATCATCTGAAGCATCATCACCAATGCCACCATGGTTCTCTAAAATAGCGAGGACAGTTTCTGTGGCCTTCTCAGCTTTCTTTCTTTGAAGAGTGACAGTCTTAAGCTGTTTCTCCAGCTGTGCAACCTTAATACAACCAGATCTAAGGTTAAAAAAGTACTTAAGCATAAGCAAGAAGATGAAAAGATATTAATGCTCCATTTGTTTACAAATAAAATTTTCTTGAAAAGTATTTCTAGTTTTCGTTTCCTTTCCGGGAAAATATTTTTGTGTTTGACACCAGAAAATATTTTCCTAAGCTACTTAGCTTATGTTTGGGACTACAAAGATGGTAAGGAAATGAAAAAATTATCAGGAAAATGATTTTTAATTTTTTTTTATTGATCTTGGAAAATATGAAGGTCACTCAAGTTTGACTATACCTTTAAAAATTTACATATATTTAGGCTTCTTGGTCTTCTTGTAATACTACGTAGAAATATATGAATAAAATAAGTTCAGAAATATCTAAGATTGATTAATTGAGTGTGCATGAGTACTTATATTTTTCGGTTTTACCTTGCATTTTCTTTCCTTCCAATTTTTCATCTACTTTCCTCCATATTTTCTAGTGTTTCCCAAGTTCCAAACAGACTCTTAGGCTTCCATGAGAAGTTTTACCAAAGTTTATTTGTTTTCTATCTTTGTTGTTCAACTATGTTATTGTATAGAAAAACTTATTTTACAAGAAAATAGTTTTCACTCAGAGAGCCTAAAGAATATTGTAATTCTGCAACCAACAGATATGAATCCTTTTTTGGAAAAGAAGAGGAAAAAGAGCATGCAATTCGTTTTCCTAGTGCATATGTGTGAGTGTGAACTTATGAAAAAATAACAAGAGCTACCCTCTTGGTCAGTTCATCAGCTCTCTGTCTTGCTGCTCGTGAGATAGATCTTTCAGACAATAACCGTGCCCGAAGAAATTCAATCGTCATTGAAGAAGAATCTTCCATGACCGGAGTATTCCTGATCAAAATGGTTTTCATTATTTCAGGAGAGAATAGCATCCAGTTAAAAGTTAAAACTATAGCAATTCAACTACAACTCAAATAGCTTAAAGATTTTGTTCAAGTGAAGTGCAGCTATGAAATGAGAAGGTAATTTTTTAACTGCCATTGCACGATTCATGGTTGTCTGGTAGAGCAGATTCTACATACTCCCTCCATCCCGCTAAGATTGTCTCATATTTCCTTTTTGGTCTGTCCCGCTAAAATTGTCTCATACCAAATTTGGTCATTTTGTGTGGTTCTAATTCATTCTTACGTTATTATTACTTTATTTTTACTTTATCAATTCAATTAACCACATACTCCAACTTTTCTTAATAAGTGTAGCACTCCCTGATGTCCCAATGTTAGTGGGACAAAGGTAGTAATACTTTCAGAAGAAAAATTGCAACAACAGCCAATGTATTCATTTCCATGGTGCTCTTCTTTTTCAATTCGAAAGTTATCAATAACTCAACTGGTATTAATGTAGAATTGATGGCATGCCGCAAAACAAATTTGATCATTTAAAACCGTGGTTTAGGTATTCCTGCCATGAATTTGGGGAAAAGAGCAATGTAGCCTATGATACAAGAACTTCAAAAGCTATGCAGGTTTTGTTTTCACAACTACTTTCTACGCATTGTTTATAATTAATGCAAAGTGAATTTCGCTACTGAAGAACAACCAGATTTAGATTATTTAATTATTCATAAATATTTTGGTTGACTTGCTTCTGCCTTTCCTCACCCCAAGCCCACACACAAAAACAAACCAGAGTACAATGGGGGAGGATAGATGTTTGATGAGATTTAAAATCTACTTTGTTATTATGGTGCCATTATATTAGTAAATATTATGGCCTAGTAATGAATAGTAGTAGTAATAAGGTGAACTCCATGTTCATCACTATCCTTGGGTTTTTTTCAGATATAGCAAAAAAAACAAAAAGCAACATGCTTTATTTAGTAATCCGTATTTTCCATTTAAAAAATCAATTTATCTTATAGTGCATTTATTCATCCACTATTTTGCTTATTTACTTTTTAAATTGAATTATGGAAAATCAAATTTTAAATTTATCTACATTTTATTTCTCACCATTTACATGACATTAGATTCTTTCAACAATATTTGGGAGTAAATTCCAGCTTGTACATCACAATTACAAGACTTAAAGAACAAGTCTCTACTTTGTTTTTGTTTAATGAACACAAGTCTTGTGTTTAAACAAAATCCTTTACTTGCTCAAGAGGCAGTGATGTGGCTTGGCTAACTAAAGCATTGCAAGTCACCTAAAATTACCCTAATTTTTACTCATAATCACCCTAAAATCCACTCCCCCTAACTTATTCAGAGAAAATAAAAAACTTATAAGTGTTTTTTCTTCCTTTCTATAGTTTTAATCCCACTGACCATATCAAATTCCAAAAAAAACATATTAGCATTGCATTTGTCATCCAAAAAGCATATAATAAAACAATTAAACAGGAGAAAGATGCCCAAGTAATAATAAAGGTCAAACAAGAACTTGTTACTCAAACTTCAAATTTATTAAAACAATATGCTCATAAATAAAAACTAAAAATTAGCCCAAATCTCCCTGAAAACTAAAGTAGAAATGGCACCAGGCAAGACAGATGACTGATTACCTCTGATTATAATCTTCATTCCCTGAAGTGGACATTTTAGAACTCAGAGCTTAACGCTCAGCTGCTAGGGAAAATAATTCCAGACATAAATCAAGTTTTCCGGTAAAAAATTAAAAAAAAAAACACAATAGAACTACTGAACAAGAGATAATACAAATGTACAATTACAAATAAGTATGGACACCAACGGTAAAAAGAAATCAACGACAATAAATTAAGATTAAATCGAGCTTAACTTGAACCGAAGACTATAGATGATGATCCTAGAGGGAAGTCCTCTGTTTCAACTTCCATGGCCTTGCTTAGTTTGACTTTGTCCTGGAAACCCCATAGTGCGGGGGTTAGGATATGAGAGTTGAGACAAGCCAATTGTTAGCTTTGGGCAATAAACAGACCTTTATGGCTTTCTTCCGGGATGAAAAAGGGAAATTTAATTATGCTGTTTTTGTTAGGATGTTTTTAATTTAACTTAAAGAATCTAATTTGATTTGATTTATTTATGTACAATCCTATCCTATACCTAAAAGCACTACACTGGAGAGAGAAATTTCTCCCGCCCAGTGCTAAGGCCTAATCCGTAAATTCACTTTATCTACTTTCCACCTCTTTCTTCTCTTCGCCAGTAACGATTCCTCCCATTTCCATAGATGAATTTCTTCTCACCTTATCGGCTTCTCACCCTTCCAATCCACACCGTATCACACCCTAGCTTTACGCACCACACCGATCCGGAGAGACATTCTCTTTCTCTTCTCTACGCCAGAAATGCCTCCTCCCATTTCCAGGATTTCTTCTCACAATTCGAATTCATCAAGTCTCAAGCCTTGGTATTACACCTTAATAAATTCAGCCGATTGGAACTGAGCGGATTGATATTTAACTGATTTCCTATTTAGGTTTCTCTGCCTTCTCTTCTTCACCCGATGCGCACTCCCAATGTCTTCTTCTTCCTGAGTCCACACTCCACATTAAAATCGTTGCTTTAATTGACGAGATCTACAAGCTTCACCTGCCTGCCTGCCTGCCTCTCTCAGTCGCAATAGAGGAGCAACATGCCCTTGCCGTTAGAAGCCATCAATGCCGCACCTCAGGCCTCCGTAGGTGGTAGCTGACACAAAGAGAAATCTGTCTTCTTCTTTCACCTAAGCTTTTCCATTTGATTTACATTATTATAGGTAAGGTATTTTTTTGACGAATAGCCAAATCCATCTTTTGCCACTGGATAAGAAATTTTGCCGTTGGGACTGACTGGCTGACTGTGGAGGACATGGCTGAGAGCTTTCTTCTTCGTCTACGAGAAAATATAACCTCAGCCCTTCTTCTTAAAGTTAAGTTTTCCAATCCATTCAAATTGACCTTCTTATAGATTAGGTTTTTTCTGATCAAATTGTATAAATAGTGATGTGCTACTGATCAAATTTGGCAGTAAGGACACACTTAATGTAACACCGTCCCCAAATATATTTACTTCTATGTAAATAATGTATTGAACCTTATTAAAGGATTGATGAATTTACGAAGTTGTAAATTTTTGTTATTTTCTTTCGCGTGAATAGTAAATTGCACGTGGGGCCCACATCGGGAGCGGGGACCACCCAACATTCCCGAGACCACATATTTTATTCATCTTGGTCTAGATAATAAATATATAGTGGTGGATATTTCATTTGGGCCATGGAAAGGCCCAGAGTTGACCGATCGATCAATAGAAGCCCAAATTACCGGTACTGGTAATTTAACGAATAACGGCCCGAACTGAATTTCGGAGGCTTATAAATTAAAGTTGGGGAATGTATATTCATTATATATGTCATAATGAGTAAGAGCACATAATATATTTTATTTGACCCGATAAAATAAAATATATTTAAAACAGTCCGAAAAAATACAACTTTCGGGACAAATTGTACACGTCGGGGCAAAAAGGGTTGACCTCCCACATGGGTGGGGGCCAACCCACGATTTTTGCCACTCAAATTGAGGGCTTGGTCGGCTGTTTGAAGAGGAAGGCATGGGAGGGAGAGGTTGACATGATCTAAAAGGCATCAAACAAAATGAGGTGGCCCCCCATCCACACCCATTTGTTCAATGAGACAAAGGGGTAAGCCTCACCCCTCTCCCACCCTCATTTTCGGCCAAGAGAACCCAGGAAGAGCAAGAAAAACCACCCAGCCTCCTTCCTCCATTGTTGAAGAAAAATCATCAAGGAAGAATCACCCAAAAAGGAGCTAAAGTGCTAAAAGTGTGAAATAACTAAGGTAATGACCTTATTATAACTACTCCTTTATTTTTCTTCTACCATATGAGATATATATCATGTGAAGAATCCTTGAGAGGGTTCTACATGTTATAAGTATGGATTAATGGGTTGGAAAGTGATTCTATGTCCAAGAACGGACTTAGAAGCCAAAACGACCGGTTCACCGGAAAATAACCGTTTTGAGGTTATTTGTATTAATACGGGTTTTATGATTATAAAACCTTGTTAGGAACTTGTGAAAGGTATTTCAAGTGATTTCACAAAGTTGGTAAAGTCGCCGGAGTTGTCGCCGGAGTTGACCGAAAGTCGCCGGAGTTTCACCGGAGTTCAACCAAGAGGGGTAGAACTTCATAACGCTAGTTCAAGGTGAGTGGACGGCTTAATATCTTATAACTTTTGGGTTAATTATGAGATTACCTAAATAAATGTTATATGATTTCATAATGATGTTTAAAAGATATTTAAACATGTGATTAGCCAATAGGGTTAAGTTTGTATGAAGGAAATTTATTTTTGATGCATGGAATATGATATGAAGAATTATATGAAATGCATATTTGTTTGAAGTGTATTAGAAGCACAAATGAATATTTTAACTTAATTATGTGATGATTAAGTTGATTTGTACAAGGTTTGTAATGGCGGTCAACGACCACGTTGACCGGTGGATAATGGATTAATTAATACCGGTCGATATTAATTAATTGTACATTTACATAATTGCATGGCTTTGCATGGAATGTGATACATAAGTTTTATGTATTGAATTAGTTATGAATGACTAAATATGATATAGACCCTATCTAGCGTGATATGTGGTAAGTCATAGGTCGGGTGGAGTACCCAAGGATCGGGCGGTTATCCTCAAAACTCGGTTATATAGGGTGGAGTACCCAAGGATCGGGCGGTTATCCTCAAAACTCGGTTATATAGGGTGGAGTACCCAAGGATCGGGCGGTTATCCTCAAAACTCGGTTATATAGGGTGGAGTACCCAAGGATCGGGCGGTTATCCTCAAAACTCGGTTATATAGGGTGGAGTACCCAAGGATCGGGCGGTTATCCTCAAAACTCAATTATAGGGTGGAGTACCCAAGGATCGGGCGTGTATCCTCAAAACTCATAGATTACATTTAATGATCTAGGACCGGGCGGTGTCCTTATGATAATTTATTTGACCAAGGAGGAGTTCTATACACTCATAGGTATATGGGTGGGTTGGGATTTAAGTCAAGGATATTGACTACTATTATTTTCCCAAATAAACAATGACCTACGGGTCGGGTATTTCCAAGTGTATGTATACTAATATGTATTTCAAACTTGGGGAAAGGACTATACGTATATGTATCATCCTATGTTTGGGTCTTATACTTGAAACGCTAGTTATTCTATATTTAGCCTGCTACTCGCTCGGTACTTGTACTGACCCCTTCGGGGGGCCCCACCATTTTCAGGTTGAAGCTAGGGCTTGCTACCTGCACCTTTCTACGGGTGACATCAATCAAGGAAGACGTGGTTCGTGCTTCCTCATTTTATTTCAAATTACCAAACATTGCTCATGGATATTTTTATTTGTCATAAACTATTCTTTTGGGGCTTGCATGCCCATGTTATTGGCCGGTTGTGGCTTATGACTTACCGTTGAATACTTCCGCTATTCATTGGTTTAAATGTGATGTTGTTATGTATGTCTACTACTGAGTATGGATGGATTATTTCTCTCGAACGCCTTGTGTAATCAAGTGAGGTTGACTCGCGGGTGACGTCACTTGATTATACGGCGGTTGTACACGCGCTTGGATTGCGGTCTGGGGCGTGACAATTAAGTGGTATCAGAGCCATCTCAGTTCTAAACTATATAATCAACCTCTCACATGAGATTTTATGAAAGAGTTTTTACCGAAAACCATGAGCATTGGATTTTGACGTTATGGGACTATTGGAGCCTAAGTTGCAAGGCCTCTAATTGTTAAGACGGTACCCTTAACAATTGGTATGGTGGTGACTTAGACCAATACGTGTCTGTAACGTTCTTCCGTCAATTGACATTTATAGGAGTCTAATGACTCATCCATATTTCTTTCAGAAATGGAGGGCAGGCGAATGCGGACCAGGAACAATCCGAGGGGGCAGGCGCCGGTAACATCCCAAAGGGGAAGCCGGGCTGCATCTCGGGGTTCAAGAGGAGGCCGTGGAGGCCGTGGAAGCCGTGGAGGTCATCAAGCTCAAACTGTGAGTGATGGCCATGTAAGCTCGGTGTATGAAACCAACACCGAGGACTATGACTCTACGTATGTTCCTGAGACAGAGCATGAGGAGACCCCATATGATGGGGGTGACACATACACCGATGAGGACAATGATGAAAGTGATGCCCGCTTCGCCCAAATGGGTGAATTACTTGAGTGGTATCAAAAGGAGAAACAGAGGAGAGACCTTAGGCGCCAAGCGAGGCGTGGCTCTCGTGGTGGTTCGGGTCAAGGGAGCCGGGGAGCTTCCGTGGCCACCCCAGCGGCGTCACAAGGGGGGCGTGAAGGAGGTTTTGTTGTGAGAATCTCCAAGTACCTCAAGGAGGCTAGGGCCTTGGGGTGTAGGTCCTTTGACGGCACCGGTGACATTACCGTTGCCGCCGATTGGATTAAGAAGGTGAAGGATGCATCAAGAGACATGCAAATCACACCGGACGTGAAGTTGACTGTCGCTTCACGGCTACTTGAAGGGATAGCCTCTACGTGGTGGGAGAGTGTGGAAGGGAAGTACCATGGGGAAATAACATGGGCGGACTTTGAGCTAGAGTTCTATGCTCAATACTACTCCGAGTACGAGGTGAATGTGAAACGGAGAGAGTACACTAACCTCAAACAGAAAGATGGCGGCACGGTTAAGCAGCTGGAACAAGAGTTTAGAACCTTGGCGAGGTTCTTGCCAGAGTACGCGGTTGATGAAAACCGCATGACGGAGCACTTCTGGGATGCATTACTCTTGGACATCCGCGACCGAGCTACATACTCTCGCCACATGTCATTTAGCGAGGTGGTGGAACAGGGTCTTCTTGGAGAGGCCCAGTGGAATGAGAGGAAAGCAAGGGACGCCGAAGAGGCGAAGAAGAGGAAGTGGAATAATTCGGGACCACCCGATCATTCTCGAAGAAACAACCACG